TTTTTTCTATTAATTTTTGTTTTACCCAAACCCAAATAATTAATAACAGCAAATAAAAAAAATATTATTTTATTTTTTAACAAATCCAAACTCAAATAATAAATAAAAATAAATAAAAAAAATTAAATCGCTGTTTCCTTTTTTTGCCAAAACCAAATGCAAATAATAAATGACAATAAATACATAATAAAAAAATTATAGCTATCTATTTGTTTGACATAGACGTATATGATTGAAAAAGTGTAGGCTCGGCATCAACTATGTTTCTATTACAACAACGCAAAAAGCCTTATGTTATAAGAAGCTCACACATCAGCAAAAATTTGAACCGATAAAAACATAACAATTTCTTAGTTTTCGCGGGAAAATACAATTTCACGGGAGATAATGGAATTTTTGGTTTTCGCGGGAAATTGTAGTTTATTTATTTTTGTAGGAAAGCGTGATTCTGCGCTTGACGAGAAAATGATTTTTTTTTGTATTGGCAGGAATAGACGATTTTTCAGTTTTTGCAGAAAAAATAAATATTTCTATTTTGGCAGAAAATACAATTTTTTTTTTTGATTTTTGCAGGACGATGAAATTTTTTGGTTTTTCTGAAAAAACGTAATTTTTCGGCTTTGGTGGAAAAACACAGGTTCTTGCGGGAAAATGTAAGTTTAGGTTTTAGGTTTGACGAGAAAATGAATTTTTTGGTTTTGGCGGGAATAACCGATTTCTCAGTTTAATGGAAAAAGAAAGTTTTTTATTTTGACGGGAAATACGATTTTTTGATTTTTGTAAGAAAAAGAAATTTCTCAGTGCTAAATTTTTAAGTTAAAGTATGTTTACAGTAACCAAAATTTAATTATTTAACTTTAACTAAAACGATATTTTAAGAGTTCGAACATAATTTTCTATTTAGTTCTAAAGCAATTGCAATGGTTTTGATATGAATGTTATTGATTATAGTTTGGTAGTTTTTAGAAACATATGTTTATAATAAAATATTTGATAAATAAATAAATTTATAATTCAAAATAATCATATTAACTAATAAATCTTTTTTTTAAATGGCATTTTGCTTTATATAATTACAAAATATGATCATGTGGCAATTTATTGGAGAAAATAGATTATATTTACCATTAGCATGAAAGTACTAAAAATGTATTGCTTTATTCTTATATATTTTATTTCTATATGTACATTTATAACTAGTTAGCTAACCAAATTTAATAGTAAATTATAATTTTGAAAAAAATATATATAATATTTATTCAGATTTAAACATATAAATATATAAGTTAAGCTAATAAAAAAAAAATATAATATTCTTTTACATTAAAAAAATAATTTTATTATAATAAAAAAAATTTAGAAAAATATCCCGCAGCATAGCGCAGATAAATACTTAATTAAAAACAAAAACAAAAACAAAAATCTTCTCTTTCCTCGTTTCCTCCGTCGCCTTCTTCCCCCATTGCTCATTTCTCCAGATCTAATTTCAGTTTCTTTAAAAATTCTATAATTCAATTTGAAATTTGGTTCTTGGATATTTAACTTATATCTAGATCAAAGAGAGAATGATTCAGCGGTGTGGATTACTGAACCCAATACTGCAGGAATCAGATTTGGGTATAGTAGCTCTGGCAATGAACACAGAACACCAGATTTAAATAGACGTCTTATTCATTCTCATCCTATTTTGAAGCCCTAAATCTCTAATTCTAAGTTTGATAGTCATCTGAAATAATATGAGATTGTGTGTGTTGCACACAAAAAAAAAACACGAGATTGTGTGTTTTAATAAACGAATTGAGATGGCGTCCCTTGTGAGGAATTGATACAGAGGAAGAGGAAATGCATGTGTCGTTCTTCCCGCTCAACGTATGGGTGAGAGGAAATACGGCGGATCTGTAAATATCAGTGAGAGGAAATACGGCGGATCTGTAAAATTCGATGACTTGTTAAAGGATGTAGTTGTTGAGATCGTGAAAAAATTAGGGAGAATTGTCATTATTGGTAGCAGGATGGAAAACACGAAAGAAGAGGAAAAAAAAAGATTTTGTTTTTTTTTTCTTTTTTTTGTAAATAGTAAGTAGATTATTACAAATAAATAATTTAAATGGATTTTGAAATATAAAATTAATAATTTTGTTAACAGAGTTAACCGTTCTGTTAATATTTTTGGTGGAACAAAATTAATAAGTCATTTGATGGTTTTAAGTGTAAATTTTATTAGGTTAATGGTTAAAAGTGAGAGTGTAAATCAAGGTTTAAAGTGTTAGTGATTTGTACTTTGAAGGTTTAAAATGAGATTTTCCCAATTTCAAATATGAAATATTTTGAATTCTAATCCCAACTTCAAAATTTTAAATTTTGAATTTTGAATAATGAAATTTCAAATATAAAGTTTCACTGTCTAAAACTTCATATACGAAGGTCTATCTTTTCTTTTGTATTTTAGTCTTTAAATTTTTATATTACATATTTTAGTATCTAAAATTTATATTTCACAAGTAATTTACATATATTCTCATAAATTTAATTTTTTACATATAAATATTAATAAAATAAAATATGATATTATAATATAATATTTTCTACTTAGTATCCTCTACCTATTAATTGAGAATGTAGTTTAATGAAAAATGCTGATTTGTTTTTATTTTGATTGGTTAAAATCTTTTCTCTATCCTAATTAAATGTGACATGGAAATGATGATGTGTAATGATGATGTAATTATGACATGGCATTTACTAACACATATGGTTTATGACATGGCAAAAAGATTATTTTGTGATATTTTCATTAATAAAAAAATTAATTAAATGACAAAATTTAGTATACTAATAACTAAATCTGGAATGATTCAGCAGATGCATTACGAATGACCTGATATATTATTATTCATCTATATGGATAATAATAGATAAATTTTAGGCTGAATGTGATGATTTTAATACACATATATAAATATATATATATATTATAATACTATGGATAATACTATATTATATACCTATTAAATTTACTATAACTCTGTCATGGACCACTGTGACTTTTCATATAGATACACACATATCTATATATATATATTATAACACTATATTCATATGGAATACATGCACATATATTTTTATATACTTCAATAGGCAAAATTATAATAACAAAATCACATTGATCAAATCATTTACCAAATAATTCATACTTTTAGTAAATGTGTGCTCCATTTACGTGCACATATGTTTTTACATACTTTAGTTGGCGAAATTATAATAACAGAATAAAATATTATTGTGATCTTCGGTAGAATATTCAAAAATTAAAAAGATTAGTTTAGTTTAAAAATAATAACAAATATAAATATAAGATTTCAATTTAATAATCCTCTATATTATTTTTCGTAACAAACGTTGAATATCCTAAAAAATCAACGTGCATCTAATTAAAAACTAAAATCATTATCCTCTACATTATTTGAAAAGTTTAATATCCATTTAATAAAAACCAAAAAGATCCATATAAACATACATTCATCCCAAATAACTAATGAACAAGTTAAATACTCGGATCTCTATATAAGAAAACATCACAACACACATGAGTATTAAACAAATCAAACTCTAATAAACAAATCAAACCCTAACTCAAAGTGCGGACATTACAATTCTATCAATCCATTTATCTAAATCAAATATGGCAAAAATGAAACTTGAAGGTTGTATAGATCACTCCAACCGTGAGTGTAATGAAGCAAAGTTTTATCGCTATACTGAATTTCCAAACAAATGAGTTTGGCATAAAAGATTTAAGAAGTGGCTCCCTCGCAACAGAAAAAATAATATTCCCTACGATATTAGCCTTCCAGAAGTCTCAGAAGAATGTGGTGAATTTTTCTACCTTAAAATATTGCTACATGTTCAGAGAAGACCAGTATGTTTTGAAGATATTATGATAGTATACAGAGTTTTATATCCAACCTTCGCTGAAACATGTCTTGCAATAGGGTTAATTAAAACACTTGATGCTTAAGTGAAGATGATCTTGCAATTATTTGTACAGTCTACTTGATAAAATTATAAGTAGAAAAATTGCACATATGAGTAGATCGAGACCAACAATGATGGAATCCTTGAAGAAATAATGCTTTAAATTGAGGAAGATTATAGAAAGATAAAGAAAATGAAAAACGTTTGTTAAAAAGAAAAAGACAGAAAAGATAAAATTTGCAGCCTGATCTGCAAATCCGAAGAAGGTAACCATCTATATACGGATTTGACCCATTTGACCCTCTAACATAAGCCTGATCATAGAAAATTAATTTTTGTGTTTTCAAAATTTAATAATTATTTTTCAAGTCTGTCTCAAAATATAAATGAATTTTTTGTTATAACAAAATGTTTAGTTAAAATTAGATCATATTTTACTATTTAATTTAAAGTCTTATAATTTAAAATACTGACTTTAAATTTCACATAATACAAAAAATTAAAATATTTAAAACAGATTTAAATATTATATTTAAATAATTATATTTTTAAAATCGTTCATGCCTGTACATGCGTGCGGGCCAGTATCCTAGTTGATTGTAATGTTTAAAACTATCTTATATAATTATTTATAAAAGTTTGTTGTTTTAATTAATTATAGATAATATTAATGATTATAATGCAAATAATTTTTTTTTAAAATAAATTTTGAAATTTTATCATTGGAAAAAATCACTCCTCAAACTTCTGAAGTTTGCTTTGGAGATGTCTAAACAGCGGAACTTTTGTTTTTAGATAATTAGATATTACCATGATGCAGAGAGATTACTAAACCTAATCACGTGGATGACAATTGATGACACCGCAATGTCACGGATCTAAACCCATGTAAAACCTCAAGATCAATGTATGAGCTTTGTTGTATAAATTTCCCGTTATCCACAAACAAGTAACAACACCAGAAATCAATTATTAAATTCTTTTACTATTATTTTAATCCATTTTCAAAAAAACCGAAACTGATTTTAATTTTTTAATCCTGCATGAAGCAAATCAATCAAAACCTCCATTTCATGTTTCTTGAGCGAGAAGCCAATCTCCACACCGCCATTTCCATCTCTACTCTCCGCCATAGAAATCGCTTCGCCTTGATCGATCGACACAATCACAACCCTCTCGGGATTTCCCCACCCGAAATCCAACCCGTAAACTCCGAATCGGGTTGACCCGGCAACAGACAGAACCTGTGATCCCGGTGGAATAGTCGTAAACGCATCCAAAAGCTCCGGGATCTTAAACGGCACACTCTCGTCCAATCCCTCAACCAAATCGCTGACCATTCTCGCCGCCACCAAAAACCCTTCTTCACCCATAACCAACTCCGCCGTCATCGGCATTTTAAACGCAGCAGAGACGCAATTCCCGAAATAATTGGACGGCATCGGCGGATCCATGAGGCTTCGACAATCCACCGCGAATCCGTACCCGATTGGTCTATTAGGATCTCCGCCTCGAGCTCTGATTATGCAAGTTAATACGTAAGAGTAAATAACCACAAACGTCGACAATCGAAGCTCCTTCGGTGACGAGGAGGAAGAAGATTCTCTCTTGAGCCGCTCACGAAGCGTTTGGATGTCTTCTCGAGTGAGTTCGAGTGTGAATCGGACGACGTCGGGATTAATCGCCGGCGACGGAAGGAGTTTCAAGCTCTTGGGGTTGTCTGGTTCTTTGCCGCCGGAAAAGAATTTGAGTAAAGACTGCCACTTGTTCAAAATCACCGTCTCCATATCCTCCGGGGATTTTATAACCGTACGATCGTAAACTGGGATTAGATCCTGCGGTAGGGAAGCGTTTGCAGTTTGCTCTTGTTCCTCCTGATGGCGTTTACATGTGTGGGCCCAGGATTTGAGAAAGTTGGTCGTCGTTTTTCCATCTAAAACGCCGTGGTGTGCGTTAACGCCGATGCAAAACCCTTGGTTTGGAAAAAGCGTGACTTGAAACGACACGGCGGTGGCCGAGTCATCAGAGTTGCTTAACTCAGGCACTAATGGGTACAACTCGGCGGTGGGGAACGGTTTGTTCCCGGTTAACCATGATAAATCAGCGTTTGACTCGGCGACGGTGAACGAAACGGCATCGTTTGGGGTGTAGACGATGCTAGGCTTTTGATCGATAGAGTCCCAGACGAGTTGGCCGGCGAGTGGGAGGTAGTGAGAGAGCGTTGAGGAGAGAGATGACTTGAGATTAGGGACGATGACTGAGTCGAAGAAAGGACGAGTTGCGTCGGTGAGTCTGTAGAGAAAGACTCGTTCGACGGGGTGGAGTTTGAACCAGAGAAGATCGAAGAAGGTGAGCGGGAGAGTTAGTGACTTGGACGAGTCAGAAGGAGTGACTCGTGATACCTCGATGACATTAAGTGATGAATCCATTTCTTGTGGTGAGATATTCAATTGGTGGTGATGATACTATCGTATATAAGAGATGGAGAGGAGGAATTCAACTTTGTATAAATAAGGAAAACAAAAAAGAATAAAGATATAACTAAAATGGATAACAATTTCTAGCCATTAATATGGAAGTAAGAATTCAAAATTGGTCAAAGGGATAGCGAATTTCAAAAGTAGTAGTAAATATATTTTCTAGAAGAAATCTGAAAACAAATCACTAACAATATATATAAAAAAATCACATGCATATAGATTTATTAAGTGGTGAATCTATTTCTTGTGGTGAAGAGGAGGAATTCAACTTTGTATAAATAAGAAAAATAAAATAAAATACAGCCATTAATATTGAAATATGAATTCAAAATTGGTCAAGGGATAACGAATTTCAAAAATAGTAGTAAACATTTTCTAGAAGAAATCTGAAAAAAAATCACAAACAATATTTCTATATATATGAAAAACTACAGGAATATAAATTTATTGTAACATATATCCTTCAAATCACAACTTTGCTATATATATGAAAAAATATAAAGCAGAAAACAAGAGACAATTTTTTTCTTCTATTTGTTTTACAAAAATCTGATTATAAGAAATTTGCATACAAATTTATCAACTCTATTATAAAACGGCTTCCAAAAATACAACTGATTTTTTTTTCTTATGTTTATGCACGTCGTGACACACTCAACTAACATTTGATGTTCGGTAAAAATGTGATTTGAAAGGAAAAAAAAACTAATACTCCAGAAAAATAATACAGCTGAAGTTATTACAAAAACATATGCATTCAATCAGTGAACAACTAATTTTTGGATACTAAATTACGTAGAGCTACATTAGATTTGGGATGTCTATGAATTTGGATGTCAAAACGGGCAAATAAACGTCATTTAATTTTCTATGCTCAATAATTTATATATCTGGCGCCAATTTATTGTCTGTCGAGTTTGGTTACACGAAGAAATTGTTTACTAGTTCGGTCCTATAACAATAAAAGGATCTTTAATTAGTCAGATATACCCACAGTCTCTCTATAGTCTACCCACATCGTAGTCTATTTAAATCACCTGCCGAACTTTTTGTTATGTTAAAAGAAAAAGAATATCACAATGCCGAACTATCAACGTTTCATGAAAAATGTTTGGACTTTAAATACGGCTTAATGCCGAACTATCAACGTTTTATGAAAAATGTTTGGACTTTAAAATACGGTTTTTTAGTGTAATAACTATATTAAAAAAACAATACAAAAATATAGTTATTATATTCAAAAAATTAGATAAGCGACCATACTCTTAAAAAATATTATAATTTATTCTTTAGATTTTAAGTGGAAATAAATACTATAAAATTTGTTTGTGACGTCATTGCTGTGTAGATATATGTCGGCGTTTATTTCCTGATCCAATGGAGGAACAGATTACAGGCCGTTGTCTGAAGAAACGGATTCACGAGACGATGATGTCTATAAGTACTTACTGATTTGGGAACTGATCCTGTGTTATTTGGCCGCGATGCGCCTCCTGTTTTCGACACTGAAAACGATGATGGTAAGAAAAACATGTTTTCCAATCATATTTGCCATTGCAAAAAGTATAGACTTAGTATGTGGAAACAATAGTATAGTACAATATAGAAATAGTATAGTACAATATAGAAATAGTCCATTTATACGACTTTGCGAAGCATACTTCACTAAATATAGTATAGTATTGTACTCATTTGAAACATTATGACCTATTAAATAGTATAGTACCTACAAGCGTGGAATCTGCTCTGGAGAATATATCATATGAGGGTGATAATCTATTTGTCAGTCGTATATTCAAATCAAAGAGCGACTGCAAAATCAAGATCACCAATTATAATGGTGGACTCTTTCTACATATGTATCAATTGATATATTAAAATTTATTCTTATTTTTTACTGCTAGCGTCAGCAATTATTTTTCACTTCATTTCAAACAAAATGGGTTTTGGTATATATTATAGAATATATAAGAAATATAATAATACTTATTTTAATATGGTTATTTTCTGAATTATAGTTTTTTAATATGGCTATATCAGCCAATTTCCCTTTAAAATAAGAGAAATCTTTTTTTTTCTTTGAGAAAATAAATGAGCGGTCTTCAATCACGTGAAATGACAAACTTAGAGGTGTTATTGGTTCTTGTATTTTAATAGATTTGAGAATCCAAACCAAATTCAGTGTTATTGGTTCTTGTATTTTAAAATCTATATTGAAAAACAGTGTTATTGGTTCTATGATTTTAAAATCCATAATGAAATACAGTGTTATTGGTTCTATCATTTTAAAATTTAAATATTATAAAGATTTGAGTTTTAATTGAATTTGAATGGATTTGGAAGGATTTTCATGACTAAAATACAAAGACTCAAATACAAGATCTAACATTGGTATTTGAGTGGATTTGATTTTTTTTTTATTTTGCTGATTTTGAAATCAATAAATTTATCAAATCCAAAGAAGATTTCTAAATCCACCAAAATACAAGAACCAATAACCCCTACTAAATTTGGTAGATGCAAAGATATGCTTTCAAGTTCGTTCGATACGACTTATATATTGTTTTTTTTTTCTTTTTGGTGAACGCACACATTGTTACAAATTATATATACTATGTTTAAATGGTATGTCAATTAATAGTATAATAGAAAAATAGCTGAATATTAAATTAGTAAAATTAGTAAACTGAAAACTGAATAATTTTAAAATACTAACAAGTTAGTATCTGTTCAGGAGCAAATTTCTGGATGTCACGTGGGGGTCATGATTCGTTGGGGGTAGAGTCGGGTCTCTGAGTTTCGTCCTCTGGGGAAAGTTGGCGAATCGTCGTTCCGGGACAGAAGCTTCCTGTCGCGATGCGGCGGGGCATGTATCGTATTCGATCCTGAAAGCACTTAAACAAACGTCAAGCGAGCCTCCGGGGAGGACCGGAAGGGGGTTTCCCTTCCGAAGGTTTTCCGACGCTCAAGTTAGTGAGCACCCTACCAGGAACAAGTACTGAGGGGAGAGGAGGGAGTTTTCTATGGGTTAATCGTTAGGAGACTCGTCCGAAGATCGCGACTCCTATCTGGTTTAGAGTGTTTCAAGAGGGGTTTATACTCGCAAAAAGGGGAACGCAGCGGGTACAAAGGAAGGGTTCCAAGTCGGGGATAACTTAACCTGGTCGGTAATTATACAGGAGGAACGTGGAGTCCACCCGTGATCCTGTTGCATGGCCGGGAATATTGTCTCAGACGTCGGGAGATGGGCTCCTCCCTTTGTCCTCCTCCCTTCCTTTGAAGGCTTCTCCATCTATTTATACTCGTCATTCCCTTGTCATGTCCCCTCTGAGCCACATACCCGGGGAGCAGGTAAGAGTCATCATTCTGGCGTGTTAGGGGAAGCCCGCCAACTACCCCGGTACAGTGCGCAGGAGTGGGTCGGCCGAGCTAGAGTGGTGTGTGTCAGCGTCTGTTATAGCCTAGGCGTATGTGGCGAGTCCTCATTCGACCTGGTAAAATGGGTCTCAACAGTTGCCCCCGACTCTTCGGCTTATCCTTGGATGAGTCGGGGAGTCGAACCTTCGTCAATTCCCTGTAAAACAAACATGGTTATTCGGTTCCCTAGATCTTACGCTGCTTATGAGCTGGTTTGACGCGGCGACTTTTCCATGTACCGCGAGGGCTACGGTACTGGTCTGGGTAAAGCTAGGTTCTAAAATCATAACGCGAGACTTAGGGACTCATCGGAGCCGTGCCGCGTATCCCGTGGGAATGAGGTTCTAGCTGGATGGTCCGGACTTCCGGAGAAGTTGGATAGGGTATCGACTCCGGCCTTGGCGTGTTCCATGAGAGAAAGCACCCTTGGCCGAAGGAGTGGTCTGAAATGGATTCTCAACCCCGACCTTATTCGTTTGTCCCGAAGGAGCACGTTATGCTTCCGGGGGAAACGAACCGTGGGACCGTCAGACTAGATACATATAGAGAGACTCGGACAGTCTACATTACGCATCCGGTGGAGTACGCCATTTGGCCTGGGGAGTTTTAGAATGATAGGGCCCTATCCTGATTGGGGCGTGCATCTGGTGGAGTACGACGCTTGCTCAGGGTAGGAGGATAGGCATTCCCGGGGGGAACTGATAGCTTTGGCCACTGGTGACCATCTCCTCGGAGGGATTTTACTTCTCGCTTCATGAGGCACTAGACGAGAAGCCGTTTTACCCCCGTTCATAGAGGTCATGAGCGAGGTTACAGTTTTGTGCGATCGTGGGAATCAGCACAAGTCAACGACACGGGTTAAGACACCGGCCCAAGGCCCAGAGGTGGCGCCATTGGATGGATGAATAGATGTTCCATGCATCGCGGGGCGCTAACGCAGGGGAGAGTCTCTACTCGAATGCAGCTGGTGCAAAGTAGGGCATTTTCCGAGGGCGTTGCCTCGACTCCTTTACTGCCTGGACAGTTTTTGCATTGTGCTTACGCATAAGTTTATGGGTTTTGGAGAATATGCTTGTGACGTACCCTGGAAGGGAAGAGGTCGGGAAGTTATCAGGAAGAGAAATCCTGCGAGTCGACGACCTCAATTCTTGTTGTGCCTGAGTGGCAAGCGTGTCCTAGTAAGGAGCATCCTAGTTTGCCGCACGGCCCTTTGGTTTGGACTGGCAGGAAAGACGCGGAGGTCTGAGAGGCCTGAGCTCTAGGATCCCGAAGGGGTCCTGCCCCGGGGGGAGGGCGAGTAAATCCCCGGGGGAGCATACTCAAGGTGTGCGTGGTCCGCGGAGGGAGCTGGCACGGGGCGAGCCACAGGGGCTTGTTAGACCGGAGTCTTTGATTCTTTGAGGAATGGTGTCCCGAAGGACGGGTGAGTCCGCGGGGGAGCTCGCCAAGAAAAAGGGATTCGAGGGAGATTATAGACACTACCATGGGGAAGGAATATCCGTGCGAGCGGGAAATCGAGTGACCGAGTAAGC